CGCCTCTAAAGGCTACAGCAGGTCCTTGGACTCAAGTTGAAGTCTTTCTCTCATTCTAGACTCTCTTATCAGGTAACAACTACCATTTACCATCTTTCTGTGAACAGATACGAATTTTCAGTGGTGGCATTGTTTATCAATTGTAGATTCATGGCCAATTGCCAATGGACAATGACTAGATACCTGCTAGCCTACTTGTGGAGAATATACACTACATTTATTTTCCTTATTAGCATGTGTCACTCCAGCTTCTGCTGAGAAAATTCCTTTTTTTTTCTTCGTCTTTGACTGAAATGATATTAGTAAAGCTTGATTATTGTTTTTAGGTTTCTTTCCTTGCAAAAGCCAAAGATATAAGAGCAGGAACTATGTTTGTTGTATTCAACTCTAAATGCTGAGGGCAACATACAGTCTGGACAGAGAAAGTCGATTGTTACTTATAACTTGTACATGATAATTATGATTAGAGTGAATTATACTATCTATAATCGAACTGCACAGTTAAGCTTGGTGTTTCCTGTTTGAAGTATAACATGTACAAGAAATTTCCCATAATAAAACTTTAATGAACAAAGCAAAATAATAAATTGACAAAATATAAAGGAGAACATAATTTTTATGTACACTGTAAAGGCATACATGATATGATGTGAACAGATAATGTAAATATGTAGATAGGTAAATAAATAAGTAAATAAATATTTAAATAGACAGGTAAATAAATACATCAGTCTGGTCATCTTTAAGGAACGAATGCCCGTGTAGTTGAACACAATATTGCTTAATACCCCTGAAAACAATTTGACAAGTTTGATTCAATGCCTGTCCGGATTATAGCAGAAATGAGAGTCTTTGAGATGGCTGAACTTGTGGAAGTATGACACAGTATATTAGTTGATGAGAATCATTTGTTTATGGGACCAGGTCGCCTTCCTTACTTCTTAGCCTTTCTTGCCAATTTGTTGATGCAGAGAAGGATCTCACGATTTCCGTTCTGACAATCTCCCAGGCACAAGGGCTGTATTTCTTTTCTTTCAGATACTCAGTGATTCTTTGGAAGTATTTCCTCAGAGCCATCATGGAGTCCTCATTTATCAGGGGGAGGGAACTTCCTTCTACCTCCATCTCCTCCACTAAACAGACTTTTACCTGCTGATCAAGTCCAGCCCGCAATTCGACCAGGAGTTTCTCATCCCAAGCAGCAGATGAGTCCTCTGTGCTGAAGAGTTTGAAGATCTGCAGGATCATGTCACAGTGGACAGAGATGGCTTGAGCCTTCTGGAACATGTTGCCATCAAGCTCCTCCTGGGGAAATCCAAAGTCATTTCTGTCCTTCAGGCAGTAGAAAGGGGAGATTCTCCTTATTTTTTCCAGAAGCGTCGAGGTTCTCCTGTTAGCCTGGCAATGGCTCTGAGGCAGGTCACAGCCCAGAGAGCAGATGGAGTTGCAGCTGAGCACCACCAGGGCCATCAGTAAAGGGAAAGAGAAGGCCATTGGGGATCTTGCAGATGGTGTTGTCCTGTTGATGCTGGTGAGTCTGTGAGCGTTGGCCTCCAGGTTCTCTGAAGACCTACCTCTGGGCATGTGTTTTATATAGGGAACATACCAGTTTCCATTTTCTTTTTGACTCCCCCTCTTACTTTCTACTTCTGTTTTTGCTTTCCCTTATGCACTCTCTATGTGGGTTTTAGTGCAGTGTTTCTTAACCCCTTTTTCTCATTATTGAGACCCCCAGAAGCCTGTTGAGAATTTTTGTCCTGTCTGAACCCCCCTCCATGAAATTTTAATACCACAAATATACTGTATTTTTGTTTATCTATTAGATGTATATCTGAGTTTTCCACATAAAATGAGAAAGTGTAAACTTACTCTTCTTATTGAATGCAGTTTCCATAATGATTAAATCCAAATTTTAAACTAAAAGTAAAATAAAAATCTGTTAACATGTCATTTAACTTTATATCTAGGTGAGCTGAGTAACTTTTATTGTAATTCTTTTACCTATATACGTTGCAATATATTAAATCACATAGGCAAATTAGAAACTTACATAAATAGGTAATTTCAATGTAATGGAATACTTAAAGATTATCCAGCAAGAACAAACAACTGAAAAATTCAATTATTTTCTTAGTTTTAGTGTACTTTTAATTTTGATTGGTGTGAGAAAATTAGTTTTCATTTAACTACTTGCTAATTATTCATCCAGTTATTGTCAAACTTTTATTCTCCTCAGTATTTGACATTTTTATTGCTAGATTAAATAACATTAATATGATTAAATATTAAAATTCACACCAGTAGTATTTAATTTTCCAATGCCAACAACAAGAACACTCAAACTCATTGAAGTTCAATGTCTGTTATGGAACATGTAAAAGGCAGCCGATGACAACCGGTAAGTATGCTCAAGTGAGCTCTCATGATATGAATTCTAGATCAGGCAAACGATGGAGCGAAAGTCCTCCATTAATCTTGCATAGATTTTGTGTACCTTCCGTCAGCTCAACATCTATACTTCTCATGTGATAAGAAAGAGAACACGAGAGAAAATAAACATGAAGAAATAACATTTCATTGGATATGGCTAACTTTGGAGGGCCCAAAACCTCTGTAATATCTAAGATTTATCCACACTTCCAAGAAGCAATTTTACACCTTAGGAATGATAGCATCCTGAGTGAGAACACTTAATCTAGAAAGCATCATCGCTTTGAATTTTCCTTTGTATTTTTTTCCTTAAAGTTGAAATTTCCCAAATTACTTTCAGAGATTCTTATCCAAGTCAATTCTGATCAATT